CTCCTTTCAGAGCAGGTGTGAGGATGGAGAAGGAAGAAGAAAAAGAGACACAGAAAAAAAAATATTTCTAGGTGGATCTGGATTCCATCATGTCTCACAAACTTTCTTAAGATATGGCATTTTTATGGTGTTTTCAAGACACCATCAGAAAACGAGAAAGTTAGTAGAAAACTCACAGCAGGGCTTTATTTGAAAATTCTTGAAATAAAGGAAAGTCCCCTTACAAGTGGAATGAGATTAGAACATGTGAGTTAAACTATTTTTCTGGAATGGCTTCTGATCTGGCTTTTCTTTGCTGAGTTGTGGAAAGTGGAGAAAAGAGTTCAAAGACACTAGGCTTCTCTGAAAAGTGAATCTTGGCACACTGAACTTTAATACTGCTAATAATCATGTCCTCATTTGATCTGAACAGAAGTGTCTTCAACCACCTTTCCAACATGAGTATAAAATGAATAATGCTGGGCATCAAGAAATGAGAAAAAAATAACTTCTGCTCTCAAAGGAACATAATGCAGATTCAGTTGTACAGTTTGGGAGGCAGATAGCCTCTGTGAAAAATAAATAGAACCTGGTTAAGAAGGAAACAGAGCATACTCGAGGACAGGGTATACGCACGCAAAAAGGAATGAGAAACAACGGACAAGATAATCCCCTTGTTTTATTTCAGATGCATTTAAACAAAACATGAGATCAAAAATATCAAGATCATCACAGGGATTTTGCCATCTGGAGCATCTAGATAATCAGAAAAGGGAAAACTTCTCCTTCTTCATGTCCTCTTCTATGAGATTTCTGCTATTTTCAGCAGATTTGGGGGGGAATTCAAACTGATATAGGTAGGACCTTCAGTTCCAGGATAGCACATACTAATTACTTTCCTTTGTTAATTAAACCCACATGGCTCTAATAAAGTATCCTGCTGTTTGCCAATAAATTTAATTAGCCTAAAGGGAGAGCCCCTCCACACAGCTATTTAAAATTGTCACTTTCCACTCACTTGGGCTTCCCCTCCTTTTTTCTGTTCCTCCTTTAGACCTTAATTTATGCTCATTTGGCAACCCTTTGCATATCCCAAGTCCACTAACCTTGCTAGTATGTACAATGACCTCCACCTTGGCTATGTCTCTGGGGACCTTTAAAGCAGAAAGGAGGGCAGTTTTACAGTTTTAAAGCTAAAGAGCAGGCTTGATGCTTGAGGTGTAACTGATTCAGGGTGTAATTAGATGTTACAAAAGGCATAAAGCTGCTACCTCTTTCTCTGTCTCTTTCACACTCTTCCTTGTAATGTCTACAAAAGTGTGATGTGATGACATCATGCTATACATTTCCCCATTCCCACCACAATCACTAGATATCACTTGGGGGGAAGGGCAGTGTAGAACATGACAACATGATATCCCACACATTAGATGCTGTAAGTAAGAGTGGGAGACACAGAACAGCAACAGCTCTGTGACTGTGATAATATCTAGTTCCACAGTCACAGAATGGCAGAGCAGGGAGCCTCCATACTTTCTGAATTATACAGAACCAACAATGTTATTCAGCCAGAGTTTGGGACATTATATGAAGAGGGGATGAGCTTTTCTGAAAGGAAAAAATATGATTTTCAGAAGTTTTTGTTTCAATCTAGAATATTTCAACTGGTTAGTGAAACATGTTTAATTTCAATTTTCAACAATGTAATGGGCAAATCAATATAATATCCTAGATAGGCATAGCACTCAATTTTCTGTTGTCCAATCTCATATATAAAATTTAGGATACATTAAATCTCAGTATCTGAAAACCTTACCTGATACTAACAAGTTTTACAAGTCCAGTATAAGGATTCAGTGCCTGTTGATTTAGTTTATAAGTAAGTAAAACATTAAAGTCTCCTTAAGTTACAATCAACTCCTAGTGCATCCATATTGTTTCCTAAGCAACATTACATAAGCGATTTGCTATTGCTGATTTCTGGGATTTTTTTTTTTTTAACTTTCCAGTGTAACTTATAGCCCTGGGATTTCCTGGTGGTCTCCCAACAAAGCACTAACCAGTTCCAACCCTTCTTCACTTTTTTGAGATTAGCCAAGATCACCAAGTGCTGCCATCTCCCCCACTGATAATGAGTGAATGATCATAATTAGTGCATGTTTTTTGGTTCACTGATGGCTGTTTATTATCTATACAAACATAGGCATATATCTGTAGTCAAGACTGCCCACTTAATGTTCTCCTGAACAGCTTCATCAAAATGAGCAAGAAGATAAAAATAGATTTGATGACTTGTAAGTACTGTTCCTTTGCTGTTCAGATAGAAATATGCACATGCATAAACCACAGGTGGGACTTCTCAGAAAATTCTACAGGACTAGGAATGGTGGGTTGTTTTCCCATACAATGCAGCACAGGCAGACACGGCAGAGGTTCATTGTTTTCTGATATGTATAGGAATGGGCTCCTCAATTACAGAACCCAGCACAAAAGCTTTCCCTTCTTTCAGGCCTCTGACTCTTCAAGAACCTTTCTACTGGAATCCTGAACTGGATTCCCATTATTTCAGCCCCCTATCTAGGTAACACATTTAACAACAAAATTTTGTGAGCTTAAAAGTGGAACAATATCAGTTTATTCACAGAAATGTACTCATGCTCTCTCTTTCTCAGTAAGCCTTTGGAACCTTCTCTAACTGCATATGATTAGGTTTCACACTTCTCCCTCTACTGCTTTTTCCTGTACTGATTCTGGGGATCATCATAAAGTACTCAGGCTAATCTGAACCCATCTCTTCCAGCATTGCACTCAGTATCCAAATAATTCTCTGCCTCCAACAACCTGACCACAACCCTTCCAAAGATCATCAGTCCCAATGTTCAAGATAATTTTAGGGCTGATCATCTAGGTATTTAATGTCTTTTTTTGTCCAAATCTATTGTGAAACTCAAAAGAGAACATATTCTGGTGGAACTTAAAGCCAAGACTGTGGACCTCCTAACTAAAATATGCAGCCTGTCTCTAAACTCAGCCTGGGTCATTGAGGACTGGAAGGTGGCCAGCATAACTCAAATTTTTAAGAATGGCTCATGGGGAGATCCAGGAAATTATAAGTCTGTCAGTTTAATATCTGTTCCGGGGAACACAGTGGAAACTGCTATTAAAGATAAAATTACCAAATATTTGGAGACACAGGTCTTGCTCAAGGATATCCAACATGAGACATCCACTAAGGGAGATTTTTTTGAAGATGTTAATAAAGATGTGGATAAGGGCAATCAAGTAGACATCATCTACTTAGATTTTCAAAAAGCCCTTGATACAGTTCATCATCAAAGACTTCTTAGCAAGCTAAACAGCCATGAAATAAAAGGGCAGGTCCTCTTGTGCATAGGCAAGTGACTAAAAAACAGAAAACAAAGAGTAGGAGAAAATCAAATCAATTTCTTACAATGGAGGAATGTAACTAGTGGGATCCCCCAGGGTTCTGTCCGAGACCAGTGCTTTTTAACATATTTATAAATGATCTGGAATAAGTTGTGACTAGCGGATTAGCCAAGTTTGCTGATTACACTAAATCGTTTCGACTAGTAAAAATAATAATGACTGTAAAAGAGCTACAAAGGGATCTCTGAACATTAGGGGAGTAGGTGTCAAAATGGCAGATATCTTTCAATGTGAGCAAATGTAAAGTGATATACATGGGTGCCAAACATTCTAATTACTCATACAGACTAATGGGATCAGAGGTAGCAGTGACTGATGAGAAAGAGATCTTGGAATAATGGTAAATAGTTCAATGAAGATGTCAACACAGTGTGCATCCGCTGTAAAAAAGGCCAAGAAAATGTTAGGGATAACAAGGAACGGTATTGAACATAGAGATACCAATATGATTATGTCCTTATGTAAATCAATTGTGCAACCGCATCTGCAATATTGCGTGTAATTCCGGTCACTGCACCTTAAAAGTATATAGTGAACCTAGAGAAGGTTTAGAGGAGGGCAACTAAGATGATCAAGAGACTGGAACAGCTTTCCTATGAGGAAAAGTTGTGACATTTGGAGCTATTTAATCTAGAAAGGAAGCAAATGAGAGGGGACATGATTGAGGTGTACAACATTATGCATGGTGTGTATAAAGTAGACAAGGAAAAGCTATTTTTCCATTCCCAAAATTTTAGTACCAGAAGTTGCCCAATTAAATTGTCTCTTGAAAGAATCAAAACAGGATTTTTTTTTCCTTTTTATTATTTTTTTCCACTGCAGAATACCAGATCATTCTGACAATTTCCATCTATATCATAAGAAAGCTCCTGATTATTTAAAACTTTATTTTATTAGCTTGTGCTACCCATGCTGGCCTCAGGGCTCTTATCATGAAAAGTAAATGTAAGGCTACAAGTGAAGAAGAAAACTGTCAAACTTTATTTAAGGTAGTCCAGTCATTTCTATCTTCTGCTATGATACTAAGTCTTAATGGTTTAAATCATTGCAGTATAATGGTACAGAAATATTTTAAAAGTACAGCAATCTAGAAAATGTCATTCTATCTCCAATGGCTGAAAAACTATTTTATAGACAAAGAGATTCTAATAATAGGTATCACAATTATTTTTACAGGCCACCAAGAAAGGCATTCAAGACTGCACACCTTATCAATGAGTGCCAACAGAAAGGGCCTACAGAATAAGTGCCGGCTTAGAACATGAAAAACAAATTTTCAACTGCTACAAGATCTTCCATCTTGGAGAAAACACCAGCACAATGTCAGTTTTCCTCACCTCTGTAATGAGAACAGTAGTGGTGCCCTATACCACAAGAGCGTGGCAATGAAAAGCATGCCTATAATATTAGCATGACAAGAATATTATTCAATCACTAAAACATTTACAGAATTACTAATGCTTTTTAAAGTTATACCAAGGAAGCTCAGATTTTCAGATATATATTTGAAGTAGAATTTTAAACATGTCCTATTAACTTTAACAGCAAGTACCCAAATTTTTGCTGCCTCTTACCTGAACAGCCGGCTGCTTATTTTCATTGCTGCTAGGAGAAGTCAGCCCTGTTGCCTGCTGCAGAAGGAACTGCCTTGCCACCTGAAGAGCCTTGACAGAAACAAATATAGGACAGAATAAAGGGAAAAAAAGTTAAATTCTCATTCCAGTTTTTTTCCCCAAAGCAATCAACTCTGAAGTACAATAACTACTTACATGTTTAAGCTAGCAGGACAAAGAAGGGTCCCTAAAAGTCTGTATCATCAATAAAAGTATAGGCTTAATTCAAACACCATGATTCCTACACAGTGATGCAGTTTTGCTAGTATGCTTCTCTGTATGAAGGGAGAAGAAATGCACCTTCAGCCTTGAAATATCCCAGAGCTCACTGAATGATCTGGCAATTTCAAATGCTGCATAATGAAGTTGAATGGAAGTAGACTGAACTGGCAATCTCAGTGGGAATACCCTGGAACTCCAATAACCCTAATGTAAGTACATGATATTAAGGAAATACTGGAAAGACATAAAACTCCATGGATTTTCCTGATCTGACAGACAGGACTCCATTGATGTCTTCTTTCTCTGCTCTCTATTTCCTACTCAAATCCCATTCAAGATAAATATTGGATTAAAGTTTATGATTTCAGGTTCCTGATCTGACAGACAGGACTCCACTGATGCCTTCTTTCTCTACATCCTATTTCCTACTCAAATCCCATTCAAGATAAATATTGGATAAAAGTTTATGATTTCAGCTGGTCACACAGTAAAATAGCAATGCAATCAGACTAGGAATAGGCATTCTTAAATGAACCAGTAATTTATATTTCTCAAGCGCAAATCAGAAAATGGCTTTTCTTTCAACTGTGCACTGTTGTCCTTCACACTGTATACATTTTCCAATGCATTGCTACAAAATATGTATTATATTAGGATAACTGTTAAAATTATAACTGTGAATTTATATTTTTTAAATAATACATGAATGTGAAGATTAAATAGAATTGGCGTACGATTCATCCATCTCTTCCTCAGACCATAATATTTCAAAATAGGTTAGGTTTCAGTCTTTCTCTACATGATGAGGATGTTAATGTTTCCCAATATATATTCTGCATATGCATATAACATATGACTCAGGACCCATGTGAATATAGCCACAGTTTTCCTCATGGTTATTTCTATAACTGTTTCAGTAAAAAGGGCATTGCTAAAAATGCAGAAAGAATCAGAAACGTGCAGATATATGCTAGGAGGGGCTATATTATGTTTGGATACAGATTATTATATACTTATACTATTCATATGAGTGTAGCTCAGGTGAGTGTAGCTTATCCATATACGTTCAAAATATTTCTCTTTATTTCTATTGTATGTATAAAGTGGCTTAAAGTTATCTTTAAATAATTTTGTACTGTAAACTGATAGCATGCAGCTAGAAGAAATTTGTTGATTACTAAAATGAAAGCAGCTTTTAACTTAGCAAGTTCTCATTAAAGCAAAGAAAACCAACTCTGGCCCTCTATCTGATGAGAGAGCAGTTTCAAGAAGAGTCTCCATTTCTTGTGTGTAGTTATTTAGTGAGCAGATACCCACAACTATCAAGAGAATCACACAAGAAAACTTTACCCAGTTTAGATCCTAATTACCACCCCATCTCAACCATTATGTGGTTTGGCAAGCCACTGAGCTCTCAGATCAGATGTTCTGGACACCTTTTTTTAAAAAGTCTGTCCAGTTCTAAGATTCAAGGAACCTGAAGTTAAACTCACATAGCATATCCATCAAATAAGTACAAGAAATATTACCTTTTCTTAGAGTGGGCCTAGATAAGGTTTCCTTAATCTAATGCCCTCCAGCCAGTATGAAAGACCATACTAGTCAAGGAAAGTGGAGATTATTATCTAATATATTAAGAAGGCAATGGTAAACCACTCCTCGGTTGTTACCAGGATGTGTCTATGTACTTAACCAAGAGTTCAATTTACCTTCTGTTACTCCTTGGTCTAACAGAAGATTACCTCCATTAGACCAAGGGGTGAGAATGGTTGAATGAAATGAGCCATTAATTCTCTTAAATTCTCATTTTATATACATGAATTAACTTGTGTGCTATCAAATGTTGAGTTTCCAAATTGAACACAACTATATTCTGGAGCCTCAGAGATATGAGATGATGGAAAGGGCAGAATGGCTGGTTCTGTTTTCAGCAGTGCAATCCTGATAGCCACACCGAAGAAAAAAGAGTGGGAAAAGGTGTACATAAAGGCAGGGAACTAACTTGTGGAAGAACGCAGGCATTGAAAAGTGTGTCCTCCTGTTTCAGAGAGGCTGTCCCCAGAAGGGGGAGGAAAGCAGCCAGAGAAGAGGAGTTCCATTCAGGAGCCAATAGCAGACTGCAAGCAGAGAATAAATTCTAACACAAACAAGCCTGTGGTACCAAAAGTGGCAGCTCCCAAAGCCCCATTTCCTCATACGTTCCTTATTTTTGCTTTGAAAAGAATTTCATGAAAAAATTGGTACATTTCTGAACAACAAAGTCATTGTAGCCCTGCCTGCAAGACAGGTTTTTATTACAGCAGAGAGACAAGAGGGGGGAGCACAGGGGTAGAGGTCGGCGGGTCATAGCCCAGCTTGGCGGTGCTGCAAACAGCATGTGGGTTCCACTGAGCTGTCAACACTGCAGCCGTAAATCACGGCTCTGGCTTCCAAAGGCCGGCTGTGCTCTCCCCACTCAATAGAGGCACTTGCAGGGTGTGTCCCAGAGAAAGAGTCGCTTGTTAATTTTCCACATTTCCAGCCATAAAGAACAAAGTTACTTTCCGTCAGGCATTTAAAACCCTGCATACCGTACTGTATTTTCTCTGTTTGCAGGAGCAGCTGATTTTCTACACCAATTATCACTTACACAGTATAACTGCACATATCACTGCATATAAATACTAGAGAGAGATTGCACCATGCTACCTAAAAATAAAACCATCAGAGTTTTGCAGTGGAGATATACAAATATGAAATGTATCGTTTCAGAAATATACAGCAGAAATGTCTCTACATGCAGAAAGTTGCATACTGAGTACACCTTGGAATTTCTCTTTAAAATATATTCCATCTCTCAATGTAGTAGCTTAACATTTCTAAAAATAATTTCAGGATTATATAGCCATGGAATTTAAAAAGTTTACCAATTAAGGATGTTAAAGTTCAAGTTCATTAGACATACGTGAAATGCATGTCTGGATTTTGATTTTCAATATGCTGTATATTGCACACTACACATAGTTCATATTTACTAGGCATGTAAAGTGGACTACTACAGCTAGTTCACATTTTTATGCAAATTTACTGGAAAACAAATCTTCCACAAGTACCCTCAAAATTCCAAGTTATTTTAAACTAAGATATTATACAGGTTTCCTAGGAAGATCAGGTGTTTCATTAAAACTGTGCTAAATACTAAACAGCAATACAGATGTTGTTTTTATACATTTAAAGCACTTGAGTGACTAAAAGGTAAGTTTACTAATATTTTCCTTGTTTGCACAAAAACCTCTAAAAGCTGCCCATAGCAATCAATTTCTTACCCCATTCCCTACATACAGTAATTGTAAGTACAAAAATCTAGCATTGTCACTTTAAACTAACCTTAAAATCAGGTCTATAAGATACATAGAACAAGTCAAGCCACAAATCTCATCCAGTTAAGGCTTTCAACAAATATTAAAAAATATCGCAGACTAAATGCTGAAAATACAAAGCCTACACATTTAAGTTCCTGAATCTAAATTTTAGCACATAAAACCTTTTTTCTTTTTTTCCCAAGTTAATAGTTTTATTGCATTATAAAATGCAGATAATACATTATAGAATATAATAACTGAATACAGTGGTATTTATACAATAGAAACTGGAAATTGTTAACACTGTGATGATTTAGAAAAATTAAACCTTTAAAAATGAGAAAAAAAGTTCCCATCAATGTTAACTATGATATCTAAAATATAATGAACGTTAGGTTGATTAAATTGTACAATTAAATATTTGCAAAATGCGTTGAATTATTTTATAATATGAGAAGGGTTTTAATCTTTGAGCTTAATACTGAAGTCTCCACTGTATTGTTATTTGTTGTTATTTATATATGTTAAAAGACAGAAAAAAAAAAGAAAAGAAAATCTCAACAGTCTATTCCCTAGAAGGGGGAAGGGGAGAAAGACAGTCTAAGTAAGCTGCTTAAATCAGGGAGACTGAAACTGTCTTTTTATAGAATGAAACTAACATTTCCTTGAATTTTTCTACTATTACATGAATGCAAGATAAAATAGCAACAATAAAAAGAGACATAATGAAATCCCCATTCAAATTGAACAGTCTGAAGTTTCAGTTGCACCATCTGGCTTTCAAACAACTGTGGCAATTGTTCATATAGTATTTCTATGCATTTCCACTGTGTCCTAAACAGCTTATTTTTCTTTAACAGCATGTTGCAGTAACTTCTGCCAAATGCTAGTTTTCTTTTGTTTCAGGAAGGGTAGTCAACTCAAAATGGTTGAATTTCATTCATGACAGTTGTAGTGACCTGTTGTGTGATCTGGATTCATACAGCTCTGTAACATTGTTGACTAAACTAGAAACTCTTAAAATATTATTGCCCCAATGTAAACATCTTCAAACTTAGCTATGAAGGTAACTTCAAGGATCACTACAAAGTACCTCAGGCATATTGCCAAAGAAAAAAAGATTCTGCAAAAAGGTGGTGACTTTACTCTTTAACAAGAGTAATGAACATGGACCAAACAAACCAAAGTCTCATTTGCCAAACTCTCCCATAGAAACAACCAGTCTTTAATACTTCACATGTCTACTTTTCACTTTAAATGCTTCCCATTTTAATGAATTAATTTACCAAAGTTCAAAACAAATTCTGAGCAAGTTTGGGAGAAAAGGGTTATGTCACAGTACAAATGCCATACTGATTGGAAAGATGGCTTGCCAGCAGAAATTGTGATGCTGCGGCCAGCTGTATAAAGTCTCCAAAGGACCCCATTTTAATTGCATTAGCCACACAACGGGAGCATTGTTCACAAGGAGACAGTAGGGACAGCCCCCTGTTTTATGGGCTTTGGGAACCCTGTAAAGGCAGTGTGAGTTTATTAAGTTGGTCGTGGCTTGTGCAAGAAGAATACAACTTGTGATGAGTGCCAGAACATGTCAAGAGGGCACCAAGCCAGGCTGGTACACAGGAGGCAGCATAAGGCCTGGTGCTTGATTATGGGGATGCACAGCATGGTGCACAAGAGCCAAGAGAACTGTGAACAGAATGGAAGAGGCCCACCCCATAGGAGCTCTCATGGGGGAATTTAATTCACTCCCTGCTGACTCTCTCACTTTGTTGTGCTCTGAAGCACGAAATTACAAGATTTACAGGAAAAAATGACATGGCCTTACAGTCTCACACCAGGGCCTCCTTGTGACAACTATGCAGCTCACCCACAGATATACTTCCTCCCCTCCCTCAGCTACAATCAACAAAGGGAGAAGAAAAAAACAGAGCATTCAATGTTAGGAATCAGTGGCATAGGTAGCTCCAGTTTCCAGGAAGGTTGGGGTTGGAATTGTTTTTCCAAAACATGCTAATCCTGAGTGAATTCCATCACAACAGTTAACAATCCTCTGTAATTATGTCACAAAGCCCATATATGTCTAATATACCCAAATATACAATTAATGTGTACATTATTGGTTTTATTTATATATTGGCTTATATGCCGCTCCAATCACAGAATTCTGAGCAGCATACATATACGACATTTATAAATCACAATCACAATCATAATTATTGTAAATTACAATATGATAAACAATAT